TATATATATATATAATAAGGGTGATCTTTTCTCATAAATGATATATGAGCACCTGATCTTAATTAGTCTCTTCTTAATCTTAATTTACTTCTTTTTATTTTCTTTGATCTTATCTCATAATCTTAGTTGATATTTCTCATCTGAGGGTCTGTTTAGGACAGTTGCAGCTTATCCAACTTATCATGATAATCTGGTGATAAGCAATTGATCAAGATAAATTGTATGTCTGTTTGATTTATGTATTTAGACAACAGCTGATTCTGAAAAAAAATCCAATATGCCCATATTTTGGATAAGTTACAATTGTTTAGTTTGTGCGTTTTGTAAACAACTTGTTCAACATTATTGAATTTCTTCTTAACTTTTTGTCTAATCTCTAAACATGTAGGATTTAGCCCCACTAGGATTCTCATCAAAATATTTTCAAATCGAACCCTAATCTCTATCAATTTGAACGCTATCCTTTCCTAGATTAACAAGCTTCAGTAAAACAGAGAGATTGAAAATATATATTACCTTCTGAGCTGAAGGACCAGAAGAAGCAAGCTCTTCTCGAACGAGAACACCGGTGGCGATACCAGGAGCTCCCAGAAGTCGGGAGAGATGGCTCGCATACGTTCATTTCCCCACACCGGGACATCTGAGAAACACCCACCGAACGCTCCGCTCCTTCAGGTCCCTCTGCGCCGACCGCGGAACCCTCATCAGGCTCGCCATAAACTGAGAATCTACCGTCTCCGTCGCCGCTAAAAAAGCTCTTCTCGTCGGTATGTCAAAGCGAACGGGCTAGGGCAAAAGGAGCGAGGGGCGAACGCATTCGGCGTCTAATAGAAAGGTGCCAACAGAGTTTAGAAAAATGCACTCAGAACTTTTTTTTCTAAACAGGCAGTGAAAAACGCCGCCGTTGTAACTAAGCACTCCCAAAAGCACCGTAAATCTAGTCGGCCTCTTGTTCATTCTGGTTGACATTTATGTTTGATTGAAGTTGACTTATTTGAGAAGAGCATGAGATGACAAATGAATCCAATTAGCTCGGTAAACAGTTTGGCGGAATTGCTTTTTCAAAATCACTCAACTAAATTCTACTAATTCAATTATATTGAATAATAAATGATTGCTCGCTCGAGTTGTGAGGAACTTATCTTAGTCTAATTCAACAAACTCTAATTCTAAAAGTTTGGAAGACTACTCCAACTTCTTTTATAACCTAACAACACATTCTCATACAGTGTACAATCATACATTTATATAATATAAGATATTTTTCTCATTGGATGTAGTCACTTGTAGCAAGTACTAAATGAACATATTAAAATATAGTATTCCTCAATTTTTATATTTCACTTGAGTTATAATTCAATGGAGTTTCAGGGTTTGAGCCCAGCTCTCTTATCTATAATGAAGGCCTCGAGGAGGTTATTTATAGGTGTTGGAAGACTAAAGGTGGTTGTGAGAAAGGAAATTATAGAGGAGTTGATTTTGATTTATATTGATGATATGAGCATCAATAGTCACCTGTCCTTTGGAGAAGGTTGTACTGTTCTATGTGGCAAAGAGTTTTAGAAAAATTTGAGGCATGGTTATAATATTTAATCATGAGATGTCTTATTTGCAATTCAAATGGGTACAATAGTCTTAAGAACATTAAGATAGAATGATACATATGTTTGAAATTCAAGGTAAAAGTATAGTTGATGTACATAAAAGGTTGACTTGTGAAAGTCATGAGGTTATTCTATACATGAAGTGGCCATGTGACATCTCTTTGTAATATAAAAGAAGATAATAGCTACTTTGACATTAAGATGTAAACAAATATATTTTTGAAGTAAAACATGAATTTCAGTGATATTATGGAAGATTTTGAGGAAAATATTGCTCTGATTAATAACCTCATAATTATTTGACTAGTTTGGTATTTATGGAACGTAGTCAATTAAAATATTTTACATAGAAAATATTCAATGTTTGCTCAAATTTGTCAGCCTTAAGGATTAGTTGACACCAAAATAGACCAACTTTACCTTTAAGAGTTGGTTGTTTCATAAAGTTTGTTGGACATAAACTTGATTTTTATTCGTCATCTAATCGACCACTTATTTCACTAAGCAGTTGAATTTTTTTTTTGTCATCCATAAGATTTCTAAATAGCCTTTCATACGAGGGAATAATAGGTACTCATTGGTGCCATGAGCGTAATTGACACCGGAGTTAACCCAAACCACAACGAAATAATGATATTATTGTTGATAATTCAAATAAACAGTCTTGAAAAATCAACTGAAATAGGAAAAATAATTATACAAACACAAATACCGCACTTGGAAGAAGTTCAAAGGTGGTGGCTGCGATTTGAGGAGGGAGAAACTAAGAGATATGGATGATTGACAGATTGAGTGGAAGTCGAGGGAAGGGTGATCTGTGGCTGTACAACAATGGAGAAGCCACCGCTTATCAGCTGGAAGGGAGGAGAGAAGGTGGTGACGACAAAGAGAGTGGAGGTTGTAGGGTCTTCCGACTGTCGGAAAACATGTTAGGTGGTTGTGAGGAGGTCTGGGAAAGGCGGCGACAGGTTTGTGCGGCCTTATGGAAGTCTGAGAAGCTGAGAGGTGGAAAGTGGTAAAGGGGTTGTTTTTTGGTGGTGACAACAACTAGGGTGAGGACGGGGGTGAAATAAAGGTTGTGGGAGAAGGGAAATCAAGGATAAAATCCTCGCAGAAGTAAACTATAGTTTGAGCACCATTCGAGTCTTAGAAGTGGTCACTACCTCAAACAAATTACAGTCGAAACACCTTCTAGTATTCATATACAATTATATCAAGGAAACACTAGAAGCTGACAGTTGTCCTGAACATAAATACACAAAAAATTAACCTAGACAAGATGAAAATAACATATCGGCCTAGGATAACAAATGATTGGACCCCCCCAATTCAATTGGACGGGTTGTTTCCTAGCTTTGTATGCTTGCTTGATTGACTCTTATTGTTAAGCAAAATAGTATCGACAATATGTGATAGTCATCTTTACGGTTAGACTTGAAAGACGAATGTCCCATTTTTTAATCATCATACAAAGCAAAGAAATAAATCAGAGAGGCAAGAGCAAGAGTGTGTGTGTGCATAAAAGAAGATTTTAGGGTTTTAAGAGAGTGGAAGAAGGGAGAAAAGATAGTGAAGGAAGAAAAAGAGAAAGCAAGGGTCGTGTGCTCAATCCTAGCCGAGACGAACTGAGAGATTAAGCACTTACTTGGGGCTAGAAGCATCATCATCCTGTGCAAGTGCTTGTGAGAGAAAACGACGTCGCAACTTGTTGTGGGGTGGCTTGAGGATGTTGAAGTCGATGTTGCATTCTGTTAGCGTGTGTGAAGGAGGAGAATCGACCAACATTGAAGAAAAAGGAAGTGCACGCATCCAACAGGAAGGAATGAGAGACGTTTAGGAAGGCTCTCGTGCGAGAAAAAGGCTTCACATTTTTTAATAATGAAAGAACCTAACCATAAGGAATAATTTAATGTTTAAGTATGAGAATTGTATAACTTTAATTAATTACATATGATTTAAAGTTTTATTTATTGAAAACATATATTATAAGTGGAAGGTTTTGTTAGAAGGATTAGTGATCCAAACAAGGTAAAAATTTAATGTTTTATATTTATTTCATGCATAGCATTTGCATAATAATTTAATGAATAATAAGATTATAATTGCTCATCAAATGAAAAATTCACTGTTAAAATTATTATTTTTTAGGTAAAATATTAGGTTGATATATTTGAAATCAGAGATTTATTTTATAGGAGAATACTGATAGAATGTGGTAGGTTGTTTGTTGTGGTTTTAATTTTATGTATTGTTTATTTTCAATTATGTTAGATCGTTGTCAATTGGATTGTGATATTGTTTTACTTTAAGATTATGTTGTTCCTTTCATTGAATTTGATTATTACTTTGTGTACTTTATGGTTTTTAGTGATTTTTTTATTATTAGCAGTTATGATGATTTATCAGATAATTTAAAATTAAGGTTAATATTGTTGACATGAGTGGTGGACAGATAACTATAATCTAATGATGGTAATGCGATGGTGATTAGATGATAATAACAAAATGCTTGTGAATATATGATAATAATTCGGTAAATAACGGTCAGATGATGACAGTCGAGCAATGACATTTGGATGATGACAATTCAATCAAAGTGGGCAGACAAAAGTTGTGAGGCAGTGGTAGTCGGGTCGACAATAGTAATCAGTAATATTGGATGTTGTGCAGAGCTTTATAACTTTTTTGAATCTTCAAACCTTCAAAACTCAAGTCTAGGTCATCCCTCTACTATGAAGAATGATAGTTTATTTAAAGCTTTTAAGAGTGATATTTCAATAATTCAATCAAAAATCTCGAATGCTACATCAGATAGCTCATATTGATTTATTAAACAATAGACCGTTCTTTCGACGTTTAGATTTCTTTTTGGTTTTGAAATTAAATGATCTAAACCATAGA